AAAGAGAGTTTGAGTTGGTCTTGGGGAGCACAGCACGATAGACGCAGTAGAGAGAGTGCAGTCCTGGAGAGTCGAGTCGAGTCCTGGAGAGCCTTGGGGCGAGTGTTGACGCAGTCTAAGAGAGTCTTGGGTCAGCCTTGTGATAGTCTTGGGGACTTTTCCCCAGGGCGCTGTGTCTTATAGAGTGCTCCACAGACCGACTAAGACAAGAGTTGAACCGTATTTCGTTGTGCGTGTCTTATTTGACTGTAAAGTATAAGTGACTTTCCCGATCCCGTACTTCAAGGGGACGCGATAGAGAGAGGAGACGAGATTCCCCCCTGACAAGTGTGGAGAACCCCGAGAGTAAAAGAATTTACCCCTGATAATATCATCAATTTATGTGAAACCATGGTTACCGTACAGTTTAATGTTGGAAGGTCTGGCACATATATTTTTGGAGATATTGATTAAAATATTCAAAATATTAGCGTAGCATAGGCTGTTAAGAATGCCCTCAAATTGTAGAAAATAACGTTTCAGAGGGTCTAGATTTCAAAATTGTTAAGGGGGCATGCACCCAGACCCCCTACTAGTAAGGTCGCGTCTTCGGCGCTAGGTTGATGAGCAGAACTCGTCCCATCATCCAAAATTTCGTGACACCGCCCTCTGTGATACATCCTTAAGACCTATCCATATATAAATATACTTGTGATAAACACGTGGTGTTATACTGTGACTCTCCAAATATGTTACTTATAGTGAGTGGCTATAACAATCATACACGTGACTGTATGTGTCCCGTTATATTTTAGTCACCATTAAATGTTGGTCATTCCTCTCCAGCCAAATTTGTCTTTTTATATATTATTGTTTGAGAACTTGTTTACAGTTCATGTTTTTTTATGAGGGACGTCGAGGTTAGCACAGTTTATGTAATATTATTGTGTTCATTCTCTACTTATCACTTTTTTATCTTGATATCAGATGTTAAACTACATATTTTTGGTCTCGTATTATTTTCCTTTGTACTTTGCATATATTTTATCCATCTAAATTTGCTTTATATCATTACATGGTTTAGGTACTTTATACAGGTGATTTAATATTTATTGAGGAATTTATATTTATTGTTTTTGTAATTGCATTAATTATTCATAGGGTTAAAATTTAGCAGTTTTCGTCGATAGACTATGATCATATTGAACAATTGTTCGTAGATATATATTTATAAATATTTATTTATGCACTTTTACATTGCAATACAGTTTGATAAAATTCTGTTTTTATTTGTTTATTGGTAGACTAGTACTGTAAAATTGTTTGTTTTTATTAAGAAATTGTGTTATACACAGTCACTGTCAAATATTGTTAATAGACAATTCCCTGTTTTGACTGTTGTGTTTATTCTGCTGTTCGTGTCTGGGTGCTCACCGTGTCACCATGCAGTGTGTATCGCCTATTGTTATGTTTCATGTCTGGGTGCTCACCGTGTCACCATGCAGTGTGTATCGCCTATTGTTATGTTTCATGTCTGGGTGCTCACCGTGTCACCATGCAGTGTGTATCGCCTATTGTTATGTTCGCTGTTTTTTCCCTTGTGTAGTGCAGCTTAGGTGGGACACGGTGAGCGTCCCTTATGCCAATAAAATATTTTAAACTGTAACTTGAGTGTTTGTGTCGTAAATGTAAACTAACGTCAGAACACCAATGCTTACGTGTATAATAATACCTAATAATGAGTTATGGCACGTGCACATACAAAACAATAATTCATGTCAAAATCCTTCTATAATTATTTAATTTATTATTAGTCAACATTACGCGCTCGTTTTTGTTAATTGTCAATCTATAAAAAAAATGACAAATGAATTGAAATACATATAATGACAATATAATTGCAAATTACCCACAGCTTACAATGAAAATGCATTTCATGAGTAATATAATACAAATAATATAAATTTTAGATTACATCAATATGTACCTCGTACGATATCATTATTTTATTCTATTTCACAGAACAAATATTGAAATCTATTCTTTTTTTTGAAACAATGGTGGATGCCTTAAAGCGCACCTTTTTCAGTTTATTTTCTACATCAATTTTCTCTGTATATCACACCTACAATTGAATAGTACCTTCTTCAAATTTCTTCCTTGCAGCCTTTTACAAGTGTAAATTGAATTAGATTATTTTTAATTTTGAGTAGAATTCTACCTTAAATTTGGAAGGAAACTGTGGCCATGACAGAAGTGTGTTTACACACCCACCCATTGGATCATCTCTGGAGAATTAAAAAGGTGAACCCTCAATAACATCCTCAATCAATTTCTATAACAACCAAAATGCGAAAATAGATATTCCTCTATCACAAAAATATATATTGACACAACATACCCATTCTTTTTATAATTTTTTTTAGAAATATTTATAAATTTCACGATTCAAACTGCAACGAGAGGTTTCCATGGGGCGATGGAATAACTTTGGTGAATTTTGAAATGACGTCATTCCTTATTGCACTTGCTGGCTGGATTCAACTGCCATTGAAATTTATAAATATTAATAAAAAAGTCGATCGATATTAAGTCGATAGTATAGATTTATATTTTGTTCTTTGGATTTGTAGGTTACGAGCTGCGTTCCCGCCATCCCACGTTTTGTTTACGTGTAATATTGAAGAGCGCCGTTGACTGTCAAGCTGGCACTAGCACAGGTGTTGAGCTAGTCTTTGAATTATGATCCCACAATTGTCAGTTTTATTGTTTCCATGGAAGTGAGTTCGGCTACCCTCTTTTTATTGTCTTCCTGGGAGGGACACTTGAATTGGAACTAGGTACACATGCTGCAGCATAAAAACTCGTATTATGGGTGTTTTTTTAAAACAGAAAGTCACGTCTACGGTGTTTATGTTTTTTATGGAACAAAACAAAACAAAGGTACATATTTACCAATTTATTTTTCCATTATATTTTTGTTTTGCCATGTTTGAGCATGGGTACCCGCACTCCAATTTGAGTGCCCTCCTTGAGATTTTCTTTATCTAATTTGTTTTTAGTAAATTTTACGCATCCATCGTTATTATCGTAGTAACAAAACAAACAAACATGTTCCGTATTTTTCATTTACTATTAAAAGCATTGCTTGGTGGCGCTGTTTCTAGTTACTGTTACTAGTACTTGAGTCTCCTGAGCTGCTGAACGTATTTGTGTGAACTTTGAACCAAAATCATGCTTTGTGAACGCAAAGCATTTCGGGATATTTTCCTTCACCGATAATGGCGGAATCAAGGAAAGACGTCAAAACTATGGATACAAGTACTGATATCCCCTTCCTCGGAGGTGAATCAGGTGAGTAATCCCGTAATTACGAAACCAGTTGTGCTAGCCAGAGCTTTCCGGGTTTAGATCCGGTCACGTAGTGGCCGCTTCACGCTAAAACGTTCGATCGCGCATGTGAAGGAGAAAATTAGATCGGTACCACCGGTGAGTTGATCGCGCATATACCATGCGGCATTTGACTAGTGGCGGGATTCATAGTCAGTCACTGATTGAAGTCTTTACTATATAATTTTATCAAACAGTTAACTTTATATAGACATCGATGTCCAACGTAACGGCTGTAGTAAATCCTCATTTAAAACACGCAGAATGTTTTTTTTATTTATTTTGTGTTGACCGTAGCGGTTCATTATTTATTCGGATGAGTTTGAAATTCAACACCATGCTAAACTGTTCCTGCAAATATGTATACAGAAACAATCTGTGTCAGTTCGTGTCTAGGCAACTGTGCCATTAAAGTTAAAGATGTCTGTTATCCAGCGCGTTGTGATCCGTGGTTGTAAATTACTAAATAAATAAACACTTCTTTATTTGAATACCTACAAAACTTCTGAGTATTTACGCTGACGCTTGGAAGGCAACTGTGAGATAACGTTGACATGGCTTTTAACCCTTCTTAAACAGTTTACACAATGTTTAAATCAAGAGTTCTCCAGCCTATTATTTAATTTCTATTGGGTATTCCCTAAAAGACAATCTGGGACTGCCCCATGGCATTGTGGGACATCATTTTGAGCATTAGTAGGATGGAATGTTGTAAACGGTGTGTATTTCACAAGAGACCAATTTTCGCACATTTTGTGAGGCAGTGAAAATCAGGAAATTTGGCACCAGTGTGAAATGACACCAGCGGCATATAAACAAACATCTCAGAACTTTGTGATCTGATCTGTGCTTGTTCTGTTCCTTCTGCTTTTAATTTCAGAAGATAGGAACACTGAAGCCTCTACAACTTAGCATGCATATCAGTGTTGGTTAGTGCTTTCCAAAAACTTGCCCCTTCGCACCACTATAATGTTTCTCAGTGCGCGGAAGAAACATGTGAAAATAGAAAAAAATATTGAATAACTTGCTCATTTGATTCAAACTAAAACAGCCATACTGTCACATTGTCAGAACTGTATAAACAATAACTTCAAAATTATTGACCATACAAAAAAAAACAACATATAAAACTTTTGTGAGATTTAAAATCAATATGGTGAAAAGCCACTGAAAAAGTTAAGAAACAAGATGAAAATCCCTTGTTACTGGGAATGCGTATGTTTGTTCTTTGAATAAATCAGAAATCCTAGGAGGATTTAATTCCAACTATTCCAGAAGCACAATTTATTTTTTGTGATGTTGCTAAATTTTGTGACAGTGAAAGCTATTCATTGTTATCATTTCAAAATTGTAATTTTATTTGCATAAATACCCTTGAATAGTGAACAATAGTGGCGGACATTTACAGGGCACCACCAGTTAAGCTTAATCTCACAGAAAATGTACTTACTTGATTAAAATGAAATGAAAATGAAAACAAAATTGTATACAACATAAACAATTTCCTGTTGTAATCCCAGAGATTGACTGCTTCCTCTTTACTGGGTGTTTTTATTTCTAATACTATAAGGCATTAATTGTTTGCTGGTTTTTAATTTCACTGATAAGTAAAATCCACTAAATTAAATCCACATAAACATGTAAAATTACAATAGGAGTCATTGTTTCACTGCCAAGTCTGTGAACTTCAAGTCCAGTGAAATTGCTCAAAGCATTGAAATACTGATATTAAATGGAAAATAAATACTGAAAATAAATGGTGGCAGAACCAGTGAGGTAGTTGGTTAGTTGAAAATTCTCAAATTATGAATTGATCCAATATTTATTTTTCTTTGAAAACAGCAAATAGACCATTTTCGGTTCACTGCGAGAATCACGTGTTATGCGTGAAATCGAACGTAAAAACAGGACAAACATAAGTCATAGCGTTGTAGTGGCGTCAAACATCGTGTGAGATTCGACAAACGCGAAAGTATTTTGGGGGACATTTCCATGCTAAATAATGTACTGTACACATTTGATGATGGGCAATTTCGATTAAGTAAGGGTATTCGAATGCAATATTCCTCTGTCGAAGATCGGCCGGTCGATGTGAGCTACGAAATAAAGAAATTTGAGTTCAAAATCAAATCGTTCGATTTTTGCGGCAGACGTTCAACGCGTGTCTTTCATGCATCTCGCAAGATCTCGCAGTTGTACGGAAAATCACCTATTGAGTTGACATTTGTTATTTGTTTTCACTGATCTGTAATACGTGTATATACAACGCAGTGGGGGAGAAAAGCAATTGGATTTTATTTTTGCTGATTCAGCGAAAAATATTTTACAATAAGCGATCAGACAATCTATATCCGTATTCACTGTATTAGATTACAACACATACACATAAACTGCATTTATTGTATTCTGGATTGTGAGAATATGACTCATTTTAAACATAGACAAGTTTCACAAGTTTCTCATTTACTTAAAAGTATGTGCAACTATAGGAGCAATTATGGCAAACTTGTTTTGAGCTGCACTGATTTTTTTTTTTTGAACCTTGGGGAGCAAACAAATAAAAAAACATCATTACATTGTGGTTAGAGCCTTATTATTGAATAATACATAAACTCAAGGCCACAACTTTGATGAAATTCACACTGGGGTTACTGAATTTTTTGTTTCATTTTTATGCTTTCATAGCTGTGGTGTATTTAAAATTAATTTTCTTTGTGAAAAATCACTTGATTGGTATTATCAATGCAACCAGACAGTTATTACTTCACTCCAGTTTCATTCAGTAGCCGTAATTGTAACCCAATCTTATTTAGCAAACATTTGTCACAACCTCTAGGGAATGATTTCCAAGTGAACAAATAAAAGTGGAATGATAATTGAATAGCCGCTAAATGTATTTGATATTTAATTAATGCATGGATGTCTTTGTTCTATGCATTATAACACACAGATGGTACCCTTGAATAATAATGAACTTCATAAAAGTAACGTTATTTTCTAGTTCGTAATCCAGGATTAATGTCATTGTCGCATCAAAAACAACTCCATATTATATATTACATATTTTCAATCAGAGAATATAACAATAACAGTGCTTTGTCCAAAAAAAATATTTAGGATTTCCTTGATGGGGTTAAATCCATATTTATTATATAGGAATATGATAATTTTTCCTAATATTTAAAAATCTAATTTTTCAGAAGCTTCAACTGATAAAGGTTATTATTGAATTTGTGTTGACATGGAAACCATTTAAAAACTTAAATCAGTTGATCTGGGTTAAGTGTTCATGTATATCCTACTTTCCACGTGGACCCTTATTAATATTAGTAGGCATAAGAAGTAATTTTTCACAACAGCTGTTTATAAAATAGACGAAATAATGAAGCTTCCCTGTTGAGTAAATTTAAATCATGCTGGATAATTATTTGTGCTTTGTAACATCATTTAAAAATGTAACTATATTCTGGTTTTCGTGTTTCGTAACTGTGGCATCTATGCTGTGTTTAATCACTCAGTTCGTAAGGTAAAACATTTTCGTTTGCAATGGATTAGGATTATATTTTTCCCAGTGGAAGGATATAATATTGGTGTAGAGATGTGCCATATCACTGCTTTTAAAATGTAGCTCTATTGGTTGTGCATTATCATGTTACTTTCGTCACTGTTTCAGTGCAGAATTTAAAAAAAAATGGTTGGTTGAGGTGATTTTTGAAAAAAACAGATTACATTGTATATTATCATAATATCAGGTTTGTGACGAAAGATCTATCAGATCAGAAATGATCTAAAAATATGTATTTGGGCCATTTTATTTGAGCAGCGCACAAACAGGAATGTCTGTATTTATATGTGTGTGTTTCTTCTTTTGTTAAAAAATATATGCTATGCAACATTATTGGACATTTAATTCACTGTTGTCTATCCTAATGTTTTTGTCCTAAGTGCTAATTGCAAGTGCAGGTTTGCAAACCAGTCTCCCATACATGGAAAGCAGGGCAGAGTGTACTCTGATTTAACTGCGGAGCGAACAGTTGGCTCAGAGAATTGATTCCTGCCAATATTTCATTGAGTCAAAGAAATTTGGTATACTTATAAAAAAAATGATGAACTACTTACCTGATTAGGTTTATTACACACATGTATATTAATTAGGTAATTTACATAATAATTGATTAACTTATCAAGTATTGTTCTTGTATATTCTGTCAACTATTACCATAGATGCATTGAAACGTGGTTCGTGCATACTGTGTGTGTAGTTTAACATTACTTTGAAATGTGCATATTAATAAGCTAATTTGCATAGTAATCACCGGTACTACTTTCTGCATGTTTTCTTTGTTCAAAA